ACCCAGCCTCCACAACAATTTTGAAAACCCCAGAACACCACCTGAGGGGGTTAATCTTCCAGGGCTTTTCTGGGAGAGGTTGAGGAGCTCACTCTGGGCTTTTTGATGTTGGGGTTGGCAAGGCGAAGCGCAAGAGTTGGCTGCTATTAACAGCCTTCCAAAACTTTGCCAGAGAATGTCAGTCGCAAGGTCACCCTCACCTTTTCTCTGATGCTTCACATGATGATAATGCCTGAAGCAATCCCTGTATCCCCCGCCCCACAGAAAATCTAACCCAGGCGCTCACAGGAAGGCACCTTTCCCAAGACACAAAGACACACAAGTGTCATGAAAGAAGAAAACCAAGCCAGCTGAAGCCAAGCACGCTCAGCTACTTTAAATACAGAGCGTGTGTGTAGTTGTCCTGTATCCCAGTATGGCTTGTACCCCTGCCTCTGGCTGGTCCGAGAGCCTTGACCACCAAAAGATTTTAATTTCGCAACAGGCACCTACACTGAATGTTTAGGCACCGCTGGCATCACCAAAGACTTCCTTTGGGCCTTGCTTAACAAAAATGGTCTCGTGCTTACCCGCATTTCTGCCACCAGACATGAGCAGAGCCCTCAGTTTGAGCAGTGATGAGCTGCTTGGTACAAGCTGTCCTCTTGCCTGTTTAGCAAACAGGACCAATCTAGCAGATGCTTCCCTGGATGTATCATTTCAGGTTGGGGGGGAGCAGAGAGGATAATACTGGTGATATTATCCAAGTGGTAGTATTATCCACATCAACAGGGGTTAGAACAGCTAGCTGGCATGTAAGAAAATCCAGGTTCAGATCTCTAGGGAAGATAACCTAAGCATAACCCAAATTTTCCATTGCAGTGCTATGTGTAATGAATATTTAAAGCAGAACCACTGCAGCGGCAGACAGAAAGTTCCACTTTGGGTGTTTAACTTCTAAAAACTTAAGTCCCACACCTCTCCAGCATCCAGTGATGACCTGAGTTGGTTCTCCCTTTTAGCATGCTAGCTTTGCCTGGGAAGCACCTGAGCTTCCCCTCAGAGAAGAGATAAGAGCCACGTTTGGCATGGATCTGCCAAAAGTGACCCTGGGGTAGAAAGACGAAGGGAAGACTATCATGAAAGTCAGCACAGAGATCATATCAGTCAGCAAAGATGCTGACTCCAGCAAGAAATCTTTTTGCAACCCATCCCTTCTACCACCCCAGGCAGGAAAATGCATCGTCTCTGCATCTGCACAGCGAAAAGCTTTCTGCTTTGGCTGCAGCAGATATGCAGCGGAACAAGCCATGGGACACAGGAGAAACCTTCTCTGTGGGTTGACTAGGATGGATCGCAGTAGCTCCAATCCCAGAACATCTCCTAACCCCACCCCACAACCTGCTGTGCTAGGTATCATGCAGCAGAGCTAGAATTCTGTCTCGCTTCTGGGGTTTACACCATCCCTGGCAAGAGCATCACAGCTGCAGATAACAAACAAGCAAGGCAATCAGCTTTAATGTTTTCTGCTTGGTTCTCACCCTTCACTCACACTACAACGCCCCAGCTGTGAACTTTTAACCCTGAACTTGTTCCAGATTGTGATTCTCTACAGCAGACCAGGCAGAGGCAGTAAATCCACTTTTCAGACAATGGCGTCTATTGAGCTATTCCCCTCGGTGCTTCGCTGCAATTCACTTTCTGTCCACCTGCCACTTTTCTGTCTACTCAAATGTGTGTATCGGTAGTAGTAGCACGCCACTCACCTGTGGGAAGGAGAGAAAGGAGCATCAGCTTAAAAAGACAGAGACCATGCAATGCGGTGAGAAGACCCAAGGATGCCTCTATATGCCTCATCAGTCTATTTTGGAGAAATACTGGATTTGCCAGCATTTCCTGAGAGCTGAAAGAAATCTAGCCCTCTGAGAGCTGAAACAAAGGTAAGTAACAGACAAGTAAAATATTTGGGTTTGGGCAAAGGCTTCAGACTGTTTTCTACTCTTTCTGCCTCCTGCTTACTCACTGGAGCAAGGGACACTGCGGCCATGAGCCAGGGCAGAGCCCCTCCGTGCAACACGTGTGCACGTGGACAGCGGGGTCTTCTCACCTGACGCATTTAGCCGCGCCAGGGAATGGCAGCCGGGGCAGGTCCCACTCACTGCTGGAGCCCCGGCTCTCGGAGGGTGACATTAGGCTGGGACGGCAGCTCCCGGGTGCTAACACACAGGCTGCCCCGGTGGACTGGCTCCCTCTAACACAGCGCAGAAGGCAGCTGCAGGACACTTCTAGCGTCCTTTAAAAATAAATCCCAGCATCACCCGCACAGGGCTAAAATGTTGTTGCAACCTTAACACACAGTGAAATCAGCTCATTTTAAAATTAAACTTGCTGATATAACAAATAGTGTGATGCTGACCTGGGTTAAGAAAAATCCCAAGCGACGCTTCCTGTTTTAACAGTAAACCTCTCTATTTTTTACAGTAACACCCCAAATTGGCACCAGAGGGTCCTGCAGCTAAACACAGACAAAGATGTCTTGTGAGAGATTAGCGTAAAATGAAGGCATGGCCAGTCACCCTCCCTCACAACATCCCTTCCACTTCCATACACACCCAAAACGCACGCATTTGGCTGCTGCTACTTTAGTCATCACAGATTAAAAAAAGACAGCAGGGCGAAGACTGGTTGAGCCAGTAGTAGAGCTTTGTTAATTCATGCCAGGCAGCAGCAGTGGCAACAGCTGGGTGCTCAGCCTTGCTGACTGCTCTTAGAATAAACCAAAGCCATCGTTCCAGCAAGGAGGTTACCGCAGATCCCTGCCATAAAAGGAATAGATTGCTCTTAAAATCTAACTGATGCGTATGACAAATGTAAGAATGACTAAATAAGAAACAGCTCACTTGGCTGATTTCCTATGCTGGCCCCTACTGCTACTGAAAAAAATCCCTCCTAACAACCCAGAGGAAAATAAAAAACAGCTGAATATCTTTTCTTAGATGGCTAGTGTTCGCATTCCCATTCAAGATGGTCTGTGCTGCTGTTGGCTCCGCTCTTGGCATGAAACTGGCCCTGAGATACCAAACTGGGGATGAGGGACAAGTGTGAGTTTAGGGCTGCTAAACCTTCAGCTGGAAAACCACACTCACGAACACCGAATTTGCACCTCACTAAACAGCAGACTGTTATTCATGGAGAGAAAATAGAAAAAGTGACTTCCATAAGCTAGCGCCCAACTAATGGCAAACTGGTGTACGCTAGCAGACCGAGTCTAGTCTTAGTGTAATTAAAATGGAATCAGATATAGTTCTTCAGATCTAGCTAACAAGCCTGCTTTAGAAACCAATCAAGTTTATAACAAAGCAGCAGCCTCCAATGTGTGGGAGGATACAACGCCTCGCAATTTTTTTTTCATGGGAAAAAGATGTTGGAGAAAGAGACAGAAGGAGAAGAACAACACTTTGAACTTTTGAGTAAGTTCTTGCCTCTCCCCCCCCAAATCATCACCCTTTGGGGACATCTGATGTGATCAGAAAGGGTCAATGTTCTTAAAACCAATGGAATCTTAGATTTACAGTCTAGAGATACATCAAGTATTTCCCAACTCCTTTGAAGAAAGGAAACAAAGGTAACTCGCTTCCACCTTCTCCATCTTTTGTTTCACACACACGTGTCCAAACAGAGGCAGAGTTTGCTATGCCTGAGTTGAAAGTTTAAAGTTTATTAGAAAAATACTTGATCTTTGATAGCATTGCGTATTTTACACATTTTTATCACTTTCATTCAAATTCATGATTTGTTAATAACTTCTTCATGCAATCTTTGTAGTTAACGTACTTGTACACACCAAATGAGCACCCGTAATGGAAGGGTATCTTACTGAGAAGCAGAGAGCCTGTTCAGGAAACTTACCTGTTTGTACTGGAAAGTCACCAAAGTGATGCCATGGTTTGATGCCATGTCCCAAGTTCCCTCTTCCTCCGCTGGGGATTTGCAGAGGATGGAAATCCAAAATTCATCAACTAAATGGGCCACAAACCAAGCTCAAAACCATGAATAGTTTCACTGGCATCAGTCTCTACTCTAAATGATGCACTGTTATTCCTTCTGCTGCCACACATACAGATTCAAGAACTCTAATCAGATCACTTGTTTTCAATGGCTGAAGGGCCAGTTCACTTTACAGAGAAATCCCTGAGATTACACATAGCATCGAGCTCCTTTGAATAAGGAGGAAAACAGACACAGTAGGCTAAGTTTTAAATTTCTTGGACTACAAAGCTCTCATAATGTTTGTATCTTCCACATTAATGGACAAAATAATGCTGTAAAAGTCAACATCTATTGTGCTATGTTTTGAAGAGGTTTAAAACAGAAGAGTTCAAATTAAAAGCATCTGTAGGTAGATCAACTCTATTTTCTCGGGGGAATGGGGAAGGCACTGGAGTAAAAAGCACTCATTAAACTTACTCAGTCCCTTTCAGAAGTATAAAATGGCATGGACACTTTGGAGAATCTAATCAGTGAGGGTGGAGTGGGGAGCGAGGAAACTGATAGCACTGTGTAGGTGTGTCTTCTAACAAAGGATTGTGGCATTGATAACAGATGGTACCACTATGAACCACACAAAGCTGGCAGCACTCGTCTCACTTGGTTGATGGTTGATCACAGTTCCTGATTGCATACTTTGATATTTTCCTCCAGTTTGCACTTTAACATCCATCCATAGGAGTAGTGGCAAGCATCTCTACTCAGAAAGGTACCTAAAATCACTATCTGTGAGGCTGAATGCTCCAGGGGAGTTGAAGGTGCCTTCCTATCTACTTCCTATCTCCTATTCTACATCAATACCGACTTTAAGAAAGTGCAGTTGTACCCATCAGAGTTAGCCATGCAACACTCGAACCTTCCATGGAAAAAATAAAAATAATAGCCACTAATCATTCTGGCATCGGATTGTGATAAGATCCTGTGTGTTCCTTAATTGAAGGGTCCTGCACCCTGAAGAATGCATTCAGTCATGATTACTCTACTTCTTCCTGATCCAGGGAAGTCAAAGCCTTCTCCTGTAACATAGAAAGAAAACTTACAATTATAAAAGCAATGAGGACCCTCATCCGAATTTCAACTCTGCTGAGGTCAGTCAGTAGTTTGCCAGTAGGGTTTCCTGACCTCACACGCTATCTATTCCAATGGACACAGGCTGTACAGTTGCTGAACTTTTCCATTCATTTAATGAAGCACAAAAGAACTAGGATCTCCGATGCGAGTGCGTCCCAGCAAATCCAGGTAAACGAGCTACGAAGGGCACCAGCTCAGCACCACTGCTGGCAGAAGAGCACCTTGCACAACTGTCTTTGAAAGAGGGATAAGATAAACAGATGCCTTCGTGTACAGGGTAAGTGGAAGCATACCACACCATAAGGGCAGATTATATGAAGTGCTAAACTACTATGCTGTCCCCAGAACTTGCCAACAGCACACTTCTAGGGAGAAGCACAGGATTAGGGTGAGTGTGAAGTTTCCTGGTGTTTCTTCCAGCCTTCAGCTATTTGCGGTGGAGAGATTGTCTGTGCCAGGAATGGTGTTTTATACTTAACAACCCTCCATGAATGTCTCCTATTGACTTTTGGACCTATGTAAATAAAAACTTGCAGCATAGAAGATGTCTTGTAGCAAGTAATTCCATAGCTGGAGTACGTGCATAAAGAATATGCAGTTCGGTTTGTTTTGCATCTGACCCGTGTTAGTTCTGTGAAGGTGTGCTGCTTCAAGGTGCCTTAGGCTGTGCACAAGTCAAGGGAGGTAAAACACATACCCAGCCACCCTGGTCCTGAATCCACGGTTTGAAGTGTTCTCTGAGGTACTTTAATCCGAAGCCCAAGACCAGGTTCATAGGATGGTTGTCTACAGCAGTAAGTCTGGTGGCAGCCTCCATTGTGAAGGCAACTTTCGTGCATTGTACTTGGCCTCCTGGCTCACTTGTTGAATCTGCTGAGACACCCTCCAGAAACAAATCAGTGATCCTCTTGAAGAAGGGGTAGGACAGCATGTCTTTAAAATGCTGATAGAAAACCTTGTCCTTTTTAATCTGAAAATAAGAATAAGGATTGGTTAAATTGAGCCACTTCTGTTGGAACTGCTTTCCCCATCTCATTGGGAAAGGAGAGCATCTCTAGGTAATACATGCAATATAGTCTAACCGCAGTGGTGAATGCAAGAGATGACACACAAACCCCACGCCTCGCTGCAAGGCTGCTCCTTCAGGCTCTGGAGGTGGCTCTATGTTTTTTCCCTGAAAAAATCTTCAGGTTTTTTGCATTTGAATGAGAGAAGCAGAGAGAGAGAAAGCAAAACAAGTGTGACACTGATATTGAGACCTGCAGGTGAGGAGACATGGGAATACAGGAGCGGCGGGAAGATGACAGTAAAGGCAAGGTTATGAGAAGTGCTGGCAACAGCTGCCATGCTAAGCTCCTTTTGCTCAGTCACGGTCTTCGTGATGATTCTTACTGTACCTGCGTACCTCTCTGCTGCAGGAGCTGAGCATGTCCTCCACCTGGGAGTATACCTTTATAGAGCAGAAGGGGCAGCTAAAGAAGGAAGTAGAGGGAACAAGTACCTATATTTTTAATAGAGAAAACATCCACTCCAACTAATTGACTCATGCAGGGGTTCTTCTATAGCTTTTGGGCAGGGCTTTCAAAATGCACTCAGAAGATTTATTTCACTACAGTAACCCTCAAAGCTGTAGAGAGTTTCTCCCTCCACTGGGAACAACTTGTATGCCAAATTTAATGCAAACACAAGAGTTTCTCAGAGTCAGTCGAGTGCTCAACATCCCATGAAACCCAAGGGGAATGAGGCAAGTGACTCCTCTTTGAAATACACATTTTTGTTGCCTTCCTCCCACACCCCAGCAGAGATCTCTGTTAGTCCTCTGGTCTTAAGAAAGATTTCAGGATGAGTGGTGAGGGTTTTGGAAAGCCCTAAATGTGAAAGGAGAAGTTCAGGATAGAGACCGGGAGCACTAGGTTACAAAACACTCACTTCCAAGAGAAGTGTAATCTCTCTCTCACACTCTAGCCTGTGTAGCTCCTGAAAAGAGAAGGAGTTACCTTTTCTTCTAGTTGGTCCCCTGATTGTCTTAACAGTGAAACTATTGTTTGTATTATCTTTTCTTCATCTGTTAAAGAAAAGAGTAACATAAATATCGCAGCCTTCTAGTAGGATCCAGATAGCAAACTATAGAAAAAGCCTTTGTGTCACTTCCTCTTGAAAACAGCTGCTAGTTTGTGGCAAATTCACAGAGTTGTGTATCCAGGCTTTAAGCTGAAGCTCACTGTTCTAGTCTGCGTGGAGTAAGCAACGCTGTTTCTCCATCTGCCCGATGTTCTGCTCCAGTTAAGAATCTGGGAGAGCGCAGGGTCTTTAACATCCCACTGCCAGCCCTTTGGGCTTTGAGGTATGTCTGATAACAAGCCAGAACAAAAGCGCAGCTAGCGGAAGCCCGCGAAAATGGACTTAAAGTTAGGGGAAAAAAATCCCTTCATCATTACCAATTACACCTTCTGCAACTCATTGGGACAAACTCTGGGTTTGCCGGATTAAACAAAACGCAAGTATGGCAGGATCCCTCTTGTAACCAGAAATCCCTAGAAAGCTTGCATTAAAACTAAATCTCTGCAGACATCACGGAAGACAAGCAGGTCAGACTTTTAACAGAGGTTGTTGAGCAGTGTTGTCCCGTCACCGAAGAGGGATTGGCCAAGACATTATTGCCCCAATGACTGGTCTTTGGCCTTAGAGCCCCGGTGTATTACTCTGCCACTGGCCCTGCCACCCCTACCACTGCTCTGTCACCTTACGTCACTGCCTTCATCCTCCTTTTCTCATGTCACACCTCCTTGGATTTTTAAGGATGCTCCCTTTAATTGCAGTAGCAGGCAGGACTTGTTAGGGGACTGCAAGAGCAGTCCCTGAAATGTGGCAACAGAGCAAGAACTAGCAGAGCAAACTTCCTTCTTCACAGCATCTTGCCACAGAAGTCCCCAATGCTTCACCATGTCTAGAGAAAATGCCTCAGTGTGCAATCCCAACCTGACGTACTGCCTGCGAGCGTGAAATTCTTCACCCTTACCGTGTTCCTTGCCCTCACTTCCATCAGTAGGAACGCTATTGTCTTGTTCCTGACTCGGGGCATGACACATTATCTTGAATGACACATCTGAAGGAGATTTTTTGGATCTGGAAGTAACAAGCTTGGCAAGTTTGTCTGCAATGTGGTTGACATCTGCTGTTTCACCTGATTGGGAAGGAGGGTGGGAAATAAAGAAGGCAATTAATCTTTCCAGGAAATAATTCAGTGATTTACTCGTTTACAAGCCCCCTGAGGTGGAAGTGCCCAGAGGATACCAAGAGATACATTTCCCCATGCTGGGGCTTTGCTGTTGCTTCAGATCAGCTGGTAATAATTTAGAGACAAGTAATGCAGTACAACCCCTCTCTAGTATCTGAGCAGCAGCTAGCTACACAGAGGCCATATGGAAGCAAGTGTGAGTGTTGCTCACTAGCATACATCCTTGCAAGCCAGAAGCACACCACGTATTAAGAAAGGTGAGAGTACTGCTCTATAGGACTGTGAATCTTAGACCTTAGTTGAATTGCCCATGATTAGTTCATCTATAGGTCCAGATTCAGAAAAGAGGGTGTATTTGAATGCTCTTTCCTTGTTCTCATAGGCTAATCCTGAGCAAAGGAGAAGCCGACTTCACTTCAGGGGCACCTCTAGCACAAAAGCTTCTCACGTCCTTGACACTCTTGTATTAAGCAGACGGGAATATTGGGAGAACTCAGTGACCAGACTGGCTTTATCCACCTTGTGTAGTGACCCTGTTCAGGACCCTCACCGGCTGAAGGCATCGCTCGATGAGGGGACTCCAACAGGGATCCTGCTATACCAAAAAGAGCGGGAGGAGCTGTTGCAAGGTTTGCTTCACCTAAAAGGTGCTCTTCCTTACAATTCGCCTCACAGAGCTTGGAATGTAAAACGCTATCTCCCCACCACCACTGCCAACTGGCAGCTCCTGCGTGACCAGCAGACATCGAGACAAGCTCAGCAGCGGCCTGGCCCATAACACGTGTAAAATTCACGAGCAGAGTTTATCGTGAGGGCAGCAGGGGTTAATGCAGCCAATAAAACTGTATTTAAAAGCTGGTGAATCAACCCCAAGACATTTCCATCCCCTCGTCTGCCTGCAGAGCTTGTCAGGGAGCTGCTAAACTTCTAGGAAGGGGATCGGGCTGTTCATGACTTTGGAAACCTAAGATTAGGCAACTGGTTTTAAATTGAACAGGCCTTCGATCTAGATGGGTAATCCCCAAAAGCACTCCCATTTGCTCCAGAATGGCTTGGCCAAGTTGCAGCCTGGCCAAGCTGCTAGCAGTGTAAGTGACAAATAATAATAATAATAATGTTTTTGGAATTGGTCCAGTAATCTGCTGAAGGGAAGGTAAAACCCAGATTTGAAGCCAAGCAGGATCCCCAGGGAGGCTGACACCCAGCACGGGCAGGTTCTACCTCGAGGCCATGCCGGCACCCATGCTACAGGGAACATGGCAATGTATTGGCAGGGCCATCAAGTGATTGCACCCAAACTCTCGAGCTCTTTCCTTGGCAATGTGAAAATAAAATGGACATAAAAACAGATACCTGGATGCAGACACGTGTCCCTGGCAACCAAACAATGGAAAGCTATCGTTATTTCTCCCTAGCAGAAGGCACTGGGCTGAGGCAGGGACCCTTTCTTGAGAGACAGAGCAGGATTTGGCAAAAGGGAGAGTTATGGGCTTGGTGGGTAGGAGCTGGCCCAGGACAGTTAAACTGGTCAGGGATAGGGCATTAGGCTGGAGAAGTCAGTGATGGATAATTTTTAGAAATATCTTTAAATGCAGTGAAAGGGGAGAGCAATCGCTGTGACACCTACCTTAAGTATATGAAAACAATACGGCAACCTATCATATACTGTATATGGCAATTCAGTGGGGATACCTCCTCCTCCTCTCTCAGTCTTGTATGAGAAGTTAAGGTATTAGTTATTATCCAGAGCAGAAAAGGTAAAATCTCATTGCCTGCAGTGCAGCAGTGCAGCACCTGATGTGGGGCTGGCTTTGGGGGCTCGGGTACAAGATGTTTATGTGGATGGGATCCCCGGGTGTCGGACGGATTACAGCCACCTACCACCTCTTCTTCCAACACATGGGAGGGCAGGTTCAGACTTAATATAATAGCAACGTGTAAAGGAGACTTAGATAACTCTGGAAGACTTTCCATTTAAGATACATGGTGGGGTTATGAGAGGTGGCCCAGAGACACTGGGCTGCTCTGTGCTTGGCACCAGAGCTTCAAGCAGAATCTAGCACTTCTGTCTTTAGTATGGAATATTTATCGCATGATAAAGCTCCTTGAATGGGCCTTCAAACAACTTCTTTTCCTTGATTTTAGTCGGAGGTCTTCCATCTGACCAGTGTTTTATGTTTTCTTTCTAACCAGGTATGAAAAAGAAAAAGCCAATGCTTGGAAAAAACCAACCTGTGCAATTATACAATACTTACCACCATATGATGGAGAACAGAAAAGCAAGTCACAAGCATGAATCTTGTGTGTGTAAGCACTACTGAAAATCTGGCAATCTGCCTTCCTAACCGGAAATCGATAGAGCTAGCATACGAGGTGACCAAAAAGTGAAAGAAACCACCTTCCTCCTCCTGCCCTTCCACAGGCCACCAGCCATTTACGCTATTTAGAGAGAGATTTAAAGACAAACAGCAGAAGGAAAGAACTAAGACATACTTGTCTGATGCTGAGAATTCCCTTCTTGAAGGCTCTCAGATTGTGCCTCAAAAATGGAGAAACGTGCCATGTGACCTTGGTGCGATGACAGCGTTGGGGATTTTTCCTGCTCTGCTCTGCTGCAGAAAAAAGATAGAGAATATCCTGGCAAGTATTTCCTTTTCGATTGCTTTTGGCTGTGCTGTTGCATCACGCCACTTTGACAAACTGCTGTTGGGCTTGGTCCATCTTTATCCCTTTGGTGGTCAATATTTACTTCTCTCCTGATTAAGGATGATGATTTCTGCACATTAGCCTCATTTTTCAGAAGTTTTCCATATTTTCTGGCAGACAACCGCCGCTGGGCGTAGGCCATTAGGATCTTGTATTCTATGCTGTCTCGCTCATCATCTTCCAGCAGTATTTCTTCCATACTGACATCATTTGGCGAAGACATCTTGGTTCCTGCAAGAACATATTCTTAGTTTTAATGGCTTAGGGAACAGCCTGTTTTTCATGAATACCAACCAGTACTTGACATTTCTACAGAACCTTTCACCAAACACCTTATAAAACTCAGTGATGTGAAGAATATTGCAGTACCCAGGAGCCAGAGAAGCACTGTTTTCTAGAAAGAGAATTTGGTTACTGAGAAATACCTCAGGTGGCAATCACGGCCATCAAAGAACAGGAACAAGAGATCTGATACACTGCTCTTAACTGCATTTGGTGGCTTAGACAGGAAAGATGAGGAAATTCACCCAATGGTCGGGGTGCAGTGCAGGAAAAGAGGAAAGCCCATAACAATAATGACTGATTCTTGGGATGGAAAGAAAAACAATTCATCAAAGCACTGCAAAGGAACAGCCTATACTGTGGCTCAAATGAGCAAGCATCTAAATACATGAGAATTGTGCTTTCAGAGGACGCTTTGACAAATTTGGGCCCTGAGTGCTCTAGGTAGGAAAGCAAACAAGAATGAGCCCAAACATTAGGAAAAATTATGATATTTACCTATCATAATGTTCTCAACTCTCCTTTCACTTTAGGAGACCTGAGTCAACAATCTTACGTGTTTGACTGCGTGCAATGGATGGTGTGGTGGCATTTATCTAGCATAACTTGTGGTTGTCCAAATAAACACACCAATCCCACAGCGCACACATGCATTTTGCCATCTTCCTGTTTCCCTACGCATGGTAGCTCATCAAGCCACAGTGCGAAACACTCTTAAATCTTTGCTTAGCACCAGACCCATTTGCCACCCAGCCTCCTGGAAGCCAGAGCAACAAGAGGAAGAAACGGGAGGGATCAGCTGTGATGCAGCGACCTAGCTGCTGTGCTTTTTTTACTCCCGAAAAGGTGTCTTCTGCAGAGCTCAGGCGAGGTTTTAGTTGTTTGAGCAGGCAGCCCTGACCACCGACAGCGGACTCTCTGCAATGCCTCTGTTCAACGACCCACGCAAAGTCGAACAAAACTATGCACATACTCAGAACCGGTCACTACGGTCTCTGTTGCAGACAAGCTGAAATAGGAGCCCTCTGTCCCCACTGTCCTCTCTTAAACAAGTACCAAATTCACTCACACTATGCCCTCAGCCTGACAGAAACAAATTCAAGCTAATTTCTTCCTGTCTGGAATATCATTCAGCTATTTGCCCCTTTAAATGTAATGCTATTGCTGATATGTATCCAACAGGACGTTTAAATCCTAAGCATGGAGACTCACATTTGGGAGTTAAACACACACCACACACCCCCTGAGTCCAAAGGGGAGTCAGTGGGAACGGGGTGCCTTGCTCCCCATGTATTTTTAACTTCTGCCGATGGGTTAAGAGCAATCCGCCCCTCCTAATTCACAACAACAGGGCAGCTGTTCTGCAGGAGGCAGCTTTCTAGCACAGCCTTATTCTGCAGGGGTCTCCCGGCACAGCAATGGGTATGAAGGGACCTGGGTATCCTGTTTCTTCACAGGTGCTGGGAGGCAAGGCTCAGAGGCCGGGAGATTGCCAGGCTGCACTTTAATCGCAGATCACCTGTCTTTACTGTGCAGAGGTCTGAAGTTACTAGCTGCTTCCTTCAAACTCCAGAAAACTACATGCTGTTGCATTACGATCCATCTGTTATCCTAAAACTTTCTTTTTCCTAAGTATGAGGGTCAAATAAGTCATATATGTATGTATGAAGTGCCAGATCTTCACCTGGTGTAAACCGTCCCAGTCCCAAGAAAAGCCACAGGAGGATACTGGCTCGCCTTTAGCAAAAGTCTAAACTTCTGAACACCTCTATTTGGAACAGACATCTCACCTCACATGCATCTCATTTCACTGCTCACGTATAAAGGATACCATTTGTCTTCTGGATATAAGCGGTGTTAGGACTAACACACTTAAAGGGGGTTAATAAAAAAGTTGGAAGTGACTGATTAGTCAAAAAAGATTTCCCTGCCCCAGCAAGTTATGGAAAGAAACAAAGCTCAGCTGATTTGTCACCGTGCTTTCAATACTACTTTTATTGTAAGATTTTAACTTCATTTTGGTTATGTTTCACATTTGTAACCTTTTAAGTTAAAAAAAAAAGGTTTGTGGCACTCTGTGCTGTATTGCTGTTAGCTGCAGGAAGCAACCAATATAACAAAACTCATATAAGCCACTTAACTTCCACCATGCTAAATTGTTTTTTGGTGGTGGTGTTGAGACAGCAGAAGGAAAAACATATAAAACATATAAAAACTCAAACCCCTCCTTACCAAATTTATGAGCATCAGAAATTAGACCAGCTCCAAACCCATGGCTTACATGTACTCTTAGTTCAGAATTGTCCTTACCGGGGAAGGGGAAGGGGATGAGGAAGGAGAAGGGGGAGGGAAAGAAGAAAGGGAAAGGGTTGAGGAGGAAGAAACCTGGAAGTGTCGCATTGTAGGTCCAACGTGACAGTTCCTCCAACCTTGCACTGCTAAATGCATCTATGTGGCTCACGGTCTGCACACCATTTTAGAGACTCTCTTTTTCCCTCAAGAGAAAGGACTGCTCTGGGATATCACTGGCTTCCACTTTCACTTTAGGACAGTCACTAAAGAAATGAGAATAGGAATAGTATGATGGAGGGGAGAAAATGGGGGAAAAGCCCCAGCACATCCACTGGTAGAGAAAGGAAAGATGACCTGTTTATCTCTGAGGGAGCTGCTATGTTAAGTCACTCCATGGGTGAGCCAAAATGTAATTTCCCAATCGTGCTCAAGTTAAGCCATTGACACACCACCATCCCACGCCTTCAACGCCTGTCTCAAACCCATGGCAACAGCCCCTCTGAAGTTTCCTTCCCAGTGCAAACCTGGGTGTCAGCTGGCTCAGTTTTGTGCTAGTAGCGTGCTGCAATCTAATGTTTAGAAATCCATACTTAACTTCATATGGCAAAACATCTCATTCTTCCCTAACTATGCGCTTGTGTGAGAATTCATCCCAACAGCATCCAAGGTACAAGCGACTACGTTGTCTTCGAACAGCCTCCTGGGCTTCAGCAGAAGCCCTGTCCCGTGAAGGGCCCCGTACTGCACTGAGACCTCTTGCTCACAAGGTCATGCCAAGGTGAGTCTCTGTTTGCTGGACACAGCCGGGGCAGTTTGGAGGCTGGGGGAGAGGGCGCAAGTTCCCCTTCTCTTGCTAGTTGCTGCCTTGAGATATTCAAAGGGTCAGCAGGAGCTTTGCGTCTTTTCACAGCGTTCGTGCAGGCAGCTTTAATGAACCTGCAAGGGAAACTGAAAGCCCAGCAGAAAAAAGTCAGCAAGAGACTGTTACAAGAAACAAACCAAGTGGAGAAAAAGAAGCAGGAGCTAGAAATACAGGGGAAAAAAAGGAGAACTGAAATGATGCAAGACAGGCATGGGGTTGCTGCTTCCTCATTGCTGTGCCTGGGAAGGGACCGCTGATGTGCATACCACCCTCGGGATGCAGGGGAGCAAAGGTAAGACCTTTTCCGTGCCCCGTGAGTGCTTGAGCCCATCTTCCAGTGCAAACCAGAGCAGCTTAAAGAGTGTTTTAAGCTGCACTGCACTTCTCAATGTCTCTGCTACACAGAAGGCAAGGCTACAGCAAATCCCTTCAGCTGGTCAACGAGCCTGGGAACAGGCACTTCCCTTTTCCCTGGAAACCAGACCAAGCATTTATTCATTTTGAAGTTTGTCCAGAAATTGAAAGAAAATTTTAAAGGCTATGCCTTTCTTTTTCATTATTTAATACTTCATGCATACTCAAGTTCCCCCTTGAAAAGATCTAACTTAGCCCTTCAGATCAGACACCAACGCTACTTAAAACAGCATAGCCTTCCACACCATCGGTACTCTTTACAGATCTAAAATAATTTGTGCAACATTCATATATACTAATTTTTCACTAATATAAAAATATAAATAACAATATAAAAACAGATAAGCTATATATAAAAACCATATAAATTATACAGTAATTATATAAAAATAATATAAAAATTCATTCCCAAACAGCAAGAGGAATTACCAGCAGTAGCATTAAAAAACCCTTACAGCCCTATACACTGGGCTATTACTTATACACTGAGAACAGACCTACCCAAGGTGGCTGCACAGATAAAAATCAAGTAAGAGTTCAAAGGTTGGTCTCCTAAACAAGGCTGAGTGCAGACCGAGAGCAGGAGGTAAGCTACTATTAGAGCTTGCTCGCACTTAACATCAAATAAGCACTTGCACATTAGATGCAGCTCTACGGCTAAGCCTGCACCTCGCTCTGACGGGGAACCTCTGAGAAATGAAACAAATTACGTTGGTAAAAATGTGGTATAGGAGCTTTCTTAGTGGGACTTTTTTCAGCACTGACGTCTCGGTAAGAAATCTCACCCCTGTGTATACAATGAGGCTGGAGGAGCATAAAAAGAGAACGAGGAGTCACAGCTCATTTATGCCATTACTTGCAGATAGCAAGAAAAGGAGGTATCATCACATGCTGGCGAGCGTTTATAAAGGAGACTACGAGTAGCTAACTTGTTTTTCAGTTCATTTTGAAGTCTGAAATCTTAATTGGTGACTTACGTCTCTCTTTAGGCTTACTTCTTCATACTATAACCATGTTATTTTCCCAATATCCCATCTGGTGTGGGCCAGAGACAAGCCAGACCTTTCACAGAAGCAGCCCTTGCTTTGCACGAACTCTTTCTCAGAAATTAGTTTCTACAAAGAACGTTTTTTAATGTAAGCATTGATTCGGTTTGACAAGTCCTGCTAAAACCCAAATCTGCATATTATTTCCTAGGATGATTAAAAGAAACTCAGAGGATCAGATTATGAGGAGTAGCAGCATGGTCTCATTCTGTCTCCTTAAAAACTCTGGTCTAAATTATTTATCTTCTGGCGCTTGCAGGCTCTGAGGGAGCAGCGTTACCCTCTCCCTCTTTACTCTTTTCCAGACCTTTTCCTCCTATTGCCAAA